GTGATTTACTACAACAGGAGGTAACAAGGGGTCAGGGACTGAAATACAAGGTGTGCTCTCCCCAACCACCCAATCCTCCAGCATGAGAAAGCACAGGCTGATGGGCTAGGAGCCCACAGGTCAGCCTTGCCACCAGACGAAAGGACACTGGGCAGCGGGCACCAGACAAAAGGTCAGCCTGTTACTTTCCCTACCTACTAGACAGGGACAGCACCCCCTCTACAGAGTGAGGCAAACTAAGTGCAAGGAGGTAGAGAGACTGCCATGGGGTGGCATCGCTGGGGTGGCATATCACCTTCCTCCTCGTTCTAGGGAGTCTTTCACTCCACACACAGCCGTGTTCAGGGTTCTTAAAGGCACAAGAAGACAGGAAAACTGCCACCCCAGCATGCCTCACTCTTGACAAGTACCAGCCTGTCACCAGCACCAGCTATTGGGGTGCTGACACGCAGCAAGGGAGAAAAGCAGCTCCTGGCTCCAGGGCACCAAAACTGTGACCCAGAAGACACCACGGTTACCCCCATTCTCCCCTCTACACTTCCACACAACAGCAGCAAGCACTAAGGTTTCCTGAGGAGCAGGGAAGCTTCGTCCACCACAATCCCGTCTTAATCGACGAGGCACACCAGGCCAGTGATCTGCTGGGTGCTCAGAGACACTCATGTGGATTTCACTTCAACATGCCCATTCCAGGCTTCCGTTCCCCCAGTTCCCAGACCTTTCATCCTCTAAACCAGTTGAACTAATATGCAGATGTATTCCCAAACAGCCTCCAAAGCAGATGATTACCAACAGACTGGGCAATGACGCAAATGGAGGCCATCTACATAAGCGAAGCAAGCCGAAACAGGGGTCGTTTACCAAAACAGAGGGGTCATTTGTGAGGCTGACGCCCTGGAGATGGCAATATCCAGGGCTGCATGTAGGACCACAGGTGTTAGTGATTTTGTCCAGTTCTTTCTTTACCTGGGCCCAAGCTAGGTTCATTCTTTTCCCTTCAAGACTCCCCCTACCTGCCCTACACACACACACACACACACACACACACACACCCCACACAGCCACCACAGCCCTGTCCCATCTCCTTTGGTGGTCTCCATTGGTGTAATTAGGAAGACACCAGACACAATTAAGCTCCATGTACTTTTTGAGTCAGTAATTTCTTCTTTCTTCGCACACTCTCCAAGAATAAGAATCTGGAGTAGAGTATGCTGTAGATCAGCAACTCCACAGCCTTGGTCAAGGGTAATAAGAGAGCAGGGTATGTGCCCCTACACCATCCATCAGAATGCTACCAAGGGGACCTTCCCAGGCTTTCCCCAAGACCAACTCAGTTTAACAAGTGAGATACCTCTCATGGCCTCCCAACCTCCTGTGCCCACCACTGGCCCCTGGCCCTTCATTCCCACTAAGTCAATGATACCTTTGCACAAAAGGGCAGCCCTCAGGGATCAGGAAAGCAACCCCTCATCAGACATCAGAACGCCACCACAGCTGCCTCCCGCCATGGGCATTCTCATGCTCAATGCTCAGTGCTCTGGTTGGCGCTGTCAATTTGACATGCCTAGAATCACCTGGAAAGGCAGTCTCAATTGAGGGATTGGCCAGGTTGGACTGGCCTGTGGGCATGTGTGTGGGGGATTGTCTTGATTGTTAATTGATGTAGGAGGGCCAGAACCATTGTGGGCAGCACTATCCCCTGGACAGGTGGTCCTGGGCTGTAAAAAAAGCTAGCCAAGCAAGAGCCTGTGTGAGGCAGCTAGCAGTGTTCCTCCAGTTTCCTCCGGGTTTCTACTGTCCTTCTTTGCCTGTGAATAGGCTTCTTGGTCAGAGCTAATGCTGTATGGACTAGCAATCAGGCCTGGGTTCAAGTTTCTGCCCTGACTTCCCTCTATGGTAGACCATAACCTACAGGGTGAAATAAACCCTTTTTTCTTCCTGTTTGATCACACCAACAGAAACACCCAGTTTCTTGCACATGTTTAGCAAACCAAGGGGTAAGTCACACATTTAGAAGCTTCTGGTCAGGTTGGCTCACTTCAGTGTGCTGTGCACCTGCTTTATCAAGTCTGTCATCAGGAAGAACGGAGAAGTGCCCCGTAGTTCTGTGAGAGTGGTTCGGCACGAGATTGTGTCTGGTTCCCTCAGCCTGCTTTCCTAACTGTGTGCTTCAACCAGAAGATCTCCATGAGCCTATCGAGCTCTGACCTCCAGTGGGTCCACTTATCACCTGGGCGCCCCACCCCTCCGCATCTTCCTTTGAGGTCCAAGGGCAAGGCCTCTTGTTTATACAAAAAGCTTCTGGAAGAGAGAAGATGTAGAGCTCACCAGACTTGAGCACTGGGAGCTGGCAGGGAACTCAGCAACAATACTGCCCAAAGGCACCTCCAGGCTGCTCAAGTGACCGTCCCAGAACATGAGGCAAAGCTGTGGTCCAGGAGAGTTCAGGGACCGGTGCCAGGGCTGCAACTGGGGCCGTGGTGACGCCACCATTAAGGACAGGCATGGCTGAAGAATCCCAACTCGATGCACACGGTTCTAGGCACAAGCTCTCTGTTAGCCTCCAGGCTGTAGAGTCACACTTACAAACGTGTCTGTGGCTCTTCCAGACTCTAATGTGAACCCAAGGAAGCCCAAGGACTGTCCTACTTAAGCTGCAAAATTCCACTGTCACTGCTATAAACAGCACTTGACACATTTTACAAACCAAGTGCTTCTGTGTGTATATGCGTGCATATTATGTGTACCTGTATGAATGTGTATGTGTACAAGCATGCATGTGTGTATGTATATGTGTATGTGTTTGAATGTGCGTGTGTACAAATGTACATGTGTTTGTTGTATATGGGTGTATATATGTGCATGTGTTGTACATATGTCTGTGTAATATGTATATGTGTGTGTCTGTGTGTGTTATGTGTGGCGTATTACATGAGTGCATGAGTATGCGGGGTGTACACACTGGCACGCATGTAGCTTATGGAAGGCAGGGGAAGATAGCCCGTGCGCGCCTCTACTGCTCTCCGCTGTTTTGTGCGACACAGTCTCTCTGAACCTGTAGCTCGGTTTCTCTCAGCTGGCTGGCCAGTGAGTTCCTATGATCCACCTGTCCCCACCCCCACCCCCCATCACTGGAGCTACATGCACAGCCAGCCTGGCTTTTTTTTTTTTTTTTTTTT